GTGTTCTTTTGGGAGGAAGAAGACCACGAAGATAACCAATAGAGCAGCGAGAAGTACTATTGATGTAAGTCACTGGCATCCGATCACCTATGAACCTAAACAACAAAAAGAATGTATGTATTGTTTTTCTAACATCCAACAGAGTAGGTTTGTCAATATATAGACATAGAATTCAAATATAATAATACCTATTTATTATTTTTTCATAATGGTGACTGTAAGAAGCAATGATCAGACGACTCCCAGGTGAAGATTGAAATACATATGCATCTCTAGTGCTATTTGTAACTGGCAACCTTGTAACAACAGTAATTGTGGTAATGAGAGGAAGCCGAAATTCAGATTCCCCTGCAAACTCCAAATACTTTGTAACCCCAGATCCAGAATAGTACACTGTCGCCCTGTCCCCTCTATACAAAATAACAAAAGATCAGTTAATCCCACATAAAAGTCTAACAAACAAAAGTCAACACAAGAATACGCAAGAAACCTGCAGTCTTCTATGATGAGCTCAAACCTAAAAACAGCATTACTTGAAACCTCTGGAATTGTTAGATGAACAACCCAACCTGTAACATCTGCAATTAAATTCATAGTAAGCAAATAATCATGAACAATTTTTGTGAAAACAGCTTATGAGGAAAATACCTCCATAATTCACAACTGTTTCTGCCTCTATTGGAACAGCCGAGAACGAAGTTTTCAGAAAAGTATTGACAGGAAACTTGGGATAACTCGGATTGTCAGGCACGGAAAATATGATCTGTTCACTCCTTAAAGCAAAGCGAACTTCAGCGGGAACAACACGCCTGTTTTCCCTCGCAGGAATAACATGAAAGCCATCCAGAACATGTAAATCGCCTACTTTCAACTTATGGTGCATTTCTTGAATGTCATCTTCCTCAATACAGACCTCTAGCATATGTTCCTGTTAAATGTGATTTAGTGCATTACCACAATCAAACATAAACAATAAACATTACATTATATAGACGAATGACAGACCTCTTTGTCAAGACACAGCACATGCATTGTTCTTCTATGCCCTTGAGAGTCATCACTATACTCAATCCATACATTAAGAACTCGGATGATCATAATATCAGTATAAGCACCAACACGGAGGCCACGAAACACCATGCATGTGGAAATTGGGTCTGTAATAAACAAAAGACAAAGAAAAACCCCAAAACTTAACACTTTGGCAGTGTTCATTCATAAACCAATAAATAGAAAGCAACAGAGTCGATACCTCGTGGAAGAGTTGGAAGTTTGAAATCACGAGGCATTATACAATGATGGCCGATATAGAAAGACAATAGAAGATCAAAAATTGGTTCAAGTGTAAAGAAACAGAGACAGAATGCAAAAGGAAAAACTATCGGCGATCATACCCCATGAATATACAACTATCTCTGATCTGGAAGTTGCGAAGTACTGTAGCTTCTGGGAAAAGGAGTTCAGAGAACAGGGGAAGTTGAAAAGGCAGAATTAGAACTGGAATGAAAAGGCGGTGGAAGTTGGTCCCCAAAACGATTTCTTACTACCATTATAAAATCGTATATTGGAGATTCAGTGGGCCATAAATTGTTCCCCCAATGGACCGAACCATTATAAAATGGGCTTCCAAAAAACTATAGAAATTTAATATAAGCATAAAATCATTTCTTATTCGGGCTAAATATGAGAATACTGGGCCCAATTCATATATCTACTTATATCATAAAAGAGGGCTCATTATTTATATCTATCTATCTATCTATCTATCTATCTATCTATCTATCTATCTATCTATTTATTTATAAATTTATTAAAAGGGTTTGAGATTTTCACGCCTACCACATCGGCCTTAGACTAAATCTACGCTTCCACGTCAACACACCTAGAAATACAGTAATTGTCGTTTTCCCACTTTCAAACTCTCTAAAAAATAGCGACTGTCTGTGAAACAGAATAATTCCCGATTTCCCATTCTAAAATTCAAACCCTCAAATTGATTCCTCAAATTGGTAATTGATTCCTCAAATTTCTCCTTCTTTACTTAAAAAATGTACACAATAAAAAGGGCAAAAAGTAAGAGCGTATGAGGTGAGAACGGGAACTGTGGGCAAATGATAATAGCAATTTGCATAGTTATATATAATTATTAATGTAAACATCAATTACATGTAATTAAAAAGTAAGAGCGAATGAGGTGAAGCAATTTGCATAGTTATATTTCCCGCTAGTATCCTTGCCCGCGCTCCGCGTCGGGATTGGAATTATACTTGAGTTTAACTAAAGGAAATAAAATAAATTGTATTTTATTGTTATAAAAAAGTGTATGACTCAGTTTCCATAACAATATCGTGAAGAAATGATTACACAATTTTCATATCCTCATCTGATGAGCATTATCATATCTAATTAGGTGTTCAAATATTATATTAGAAGAATCGTATTTTGTAATTTTGGGTCTCCGACTATATTTCAAAATCATATTTGTCAAAATTTATATTCGTTAGCCCAACATTTATATGGGCCTGGCAAATAAATGGAATGACATCCAATACGTCGTTCTGCGAACAAACATGTTTTGCATTCTCTTTTTCATTTTTGTGGATCAATCATTAGACCTGTAAAATTTTTTATGAAAAACATGGGAAGAACGCCAAGAACTACCATTAAAATTCTAGAATTCAAAGTGGGACATAGTTTTGTAAGATTTTGACCCTATTTATGGGTTATGGGGATTCCATAAATATTCCATTCCAAAAAAAAGAGCAAGTTCGAAACAATTGGGATTGAAAATATAGTATAAAACATATATTGGCCATTTCTCTGACTCGTGGACAAAGTCCCAGATGTGACTCGTGGACAAAGTCCCAGGGATAGCAAGATGGTTCCTCTGCCTCTCTCTATCCATCCCAAAAAAGAAAATCGACTGAAAGATCACAGGAGCAATGTGAGCAGGTTAAATGAATGGCCGAAAATATAAGAACTACGTGGCTTTTAACCTACCATTGTCCTTCTCAATATCGTCCATTCCTTTCTCCCTTCAGCCTCTATCTGAGGAGTGAGGATGTACAGTCTCCCAAGAGCCCCTCAAAAACCGAGAAGGAAAAAAATTGAAAAACAAAAAATATTTATATCTAGTGTCTAGTCTCCATAAGCAACCCTTCGTTCCTCTGCCAACCCCTAGTCCCCTATGCAGTGTGAGGAATAAGGCAATTACGTGTCTCAATCAGCAAACCTTCCTTCTCTCCTGTTCTCTGCCACGAAAGGAATAAAGCAAAGACTTGTCTCCATCAGCAACCTCCCTTCCTCTCATGATCTCTACAGTTTAGACAAAAGGCAAAATCCAGTTACAAAGAAACTCAAAGATACCCTGCGACCAACGCAAAGATCACCTTCACCAAATCAAACAAAAAAAAAAACAAAACTAAAAGTTGGCAACCAGATATCCCATCAATAACTTGAAGGGAACCGAGCTTCCATGTCAGAAACCACTGAACAACCAGAGCAACAGCCAATCACAAAACGGTGAATAGTAAAATTGAGTCTAAACGAATAGTAAAAGCAGTCTAGATGAACAGTGGAAGGTGGTTTGAGAAGTTATACTTTTTGGTGGTTGTTGGAGGTTTCTGAATCTCCCACGCCTCACTTGTGCGTGGAAAGCACAAGCAGATGGCGAGCGACGTATCTAGTCAACACAGAGAACAATTACCTTAAACCTTAAACATAAATCTGCAGATTTGGGTTCCTTCGAACCCTCTGTGCACCTCAAATCCATTGACAACCCCAGCAGTAGTTCGTGCATACTAACCAGTCGGTCCTCTGCTATTGCTACCTTTCTGCTTAACTTCGACCTCCAATCCGCCTCAATGAAAGTAAACTCGACACCTGCATCTAATCCTAAGAGTTTATCAATCAAACCAAAGAGCAAGGAAGAGCCAACAAACACATCGCAAAAAACATACAGAACAAAACAATTGTAAAACATACAAGTCTGCCTATTCTCCGAGTCTCCTCTATGCACCCCTCAAATCCCATTGGTAACCTAGAGTTCCACTCAAGAAGCGGATGGAAGTGAAGAAGGCAAATCAACGAACTCTGATCCATCAAAGAAAAATGAAATTACCTCCAACTCATAGAAGCACTTGAACCGAACAAATCAACAGCATCCAAAGAATGACTTACCAAAGGTAGTCTAGCAGCTAAAACGAATAAAATCTGATGCAGAGCTCGGGTACTTCCCTTCCGCGGAGAGTCTGTAGTATTTGAATAAAATCTGAAAAGAGTTCAAACGACCCTTATGAGAAAGAAAGAGAGAATTAGTCCATCGAAATACAGTACAGAGAAAGAACCAGAGAGAAAGATTATAACCTGATGCTACTTGCCTTGTCAACCCCTTTGTTGAGGGCGCAGAACCACCTTTCACATATACATAAACCCATCAAACAATCTCCAATGTCAAATCCCGCAACCCACCAAACAATACCAGACCAAAGCAGCCCAGTAGGGACAAAGATAATCTATCAGATGATCATCTGCAAAAGGCAAAAACATAATCTGCCATGTAAGGGAAGGCTTCGCCAACAACAGAACTGCAAAGAATATAACAGGGGATTAAGAAGCGAACCTCGCCCAAATTCCAGCGACTCTTTTTGGAACTCCAAACCCCTGGTGTTGCCCACACCATCCTTAAGAACAACAGATCAATCAACGCCCAACCGTTTACTTCATCTTGCAAAATATCGTCTGAAAAGTAATCACAATAAACCCATGAAAAACAGAACAAAATCATGAACGACAGAAAGATAACAAAACCAAGATTATAACCTGTGCACCGGGGCATTCTTTAAATCCCCTTTCTCTCTCTCTCAAATCTACAACCTGATCGTTTCGGGATCGCCATCTCCCAGACTGGATGTGAAAAACCATCGCCGATAGAAAAGTGAGAGAGAAAGATAGGGGGAAAAGTGAGTGAGAGAGAGAGAGAAAGGGGAAAGGCCATTGCATCAACTGGAACAAATTTACTGGAATAGAAAAAATAAGGACATGTCGAGAAGACCACCACCACCTAAAACAATGTGAAATTTCTCATCGTTCTTCCGGGGGTTCGACGTGAACCGGCTACCGGCCATCGCAGCGGCCGATTGCGAGGAGGAAGTGGGGGTTTCTTCTCCCAACAGTATCGTTTCGCGTACAAGCGGGAAGAGGAGCGAGAGAGATCAGCCGACTACCACCGGATCCGACGGAGAGGATCTCGGCGCCGCCGGCTCCCGTGACGGGATCAGATAGTGAAGGCGATGAAGGCGGTGGAAGCGGAGGTGGAGGAGGTGGCAACGGCAGTAGTTGAGGCGGTGGGGATGGCGAAGGCGGAGGTGACGGATGAGGTGGCGATGATGGGGACGGTGGCGACGGCAGCCGTGGAGGTAAAGGAGGCAATAGAGGGGGTGGCGATGGTGGAGGCAGCCATTTTTGAGAGATTGAAGAAAGAGAGGAGAAAGAAAGGAGAGAGTAACTGAGATGGTATGGCCAAAACCTCTGACTCTCTCTCCTCTCTACTTATTGTTTGCGTGGCGGGGAAAACCCTTAACTTCTCTGCGAAGGATCTCAATATTCGAGAAACCCCTCGAGACCCGAAGAACAGTGCAGCAGTATCCATGGCAAGATAAGAGAAAAAAGCAAAGCGAAACGTACAGATTGACAGGTGTAATAATTAGCAGAAGGTTTCAGAGGGAATAGTTGAGAAAAGCAGAGAAAGAAAAGCAGGAAAGAGAGAGCGAAGGGAAAATGAGCGTGCAACTGAGGGCAACGCAGCACACACAGCAACAACGGCGGGACCCAGACGCAGGAAGCCAACCAATCAGCAAAGGCGGCTGGTCTCAATCGCAGAGGACGCACCAATGGGAGGAGGGTGAACAGTAATTTTGAGTCTAAATGAACATGAATTTCGTGTCTAGGCGTACAGTAACTTGTCTTTGCAAATAACTTGTTCTAATTGTACTAAGGGGTCGTTTGGAAGTTGCGATAGTTTTGTTGAGATTGTTATTATGCATGTATAGTTTACAATGCATCGTTTTTTGTTTTTTAGCAGAAACAATACATGGATTGTTCTTGTGATGTGACAGAAACCATCACTCATTTTGAGTGATTGTTATATCTCAACTTTTAGTTGTGATTGTTTAGTTGAGATTGTTTTGTCTCAGCTTTTAGCTGATACAACATACACAATCACACATACCAAACGTTGTATTCTACAATGCATCAAATTCGACAAAACATGTATAATATTATACATGCATTCTCAACAATACATCTATTTAACAATCGCAACCTCCAAACGATAAATTCACTTGTCTGGGGTGGGGCACGTAATTCGAATTAACTCATTTATAAAATGAGACAATTGGTCAAATTGTCTCATTTCTATATTGATCCATTCAAACGACCCCATAATTTTTGTCGTGCTCCTTTTTTTCTTTACTAAAATATGTGATCTGATTTATTGATTAGACCAAGCGGTTACATGATCAAGTTGAAGCTGATTAACAAGAAAATTTGGAGGCGTATCAAGCCAAACTACACGTTCATTCCCGTTAGTTTCTGCGTGAGCCATCACATGGGCGGCTTCATTGGCTTCCCTGCTGATGTGCTGCCATCTTCCTTCTCCCGTGACCTCTAGAAATCGACGAATACTTGTACACAAGACCCCTGTCTCATCACGCATCGCAGCTAGGGCTGCAAATGAGTCAAGCCGCTCGCAAGCAACTCATCGTTCGAATCGGGAAAAACTCTTTCGACACTTTGCTCGTTATTTAACAAGCCGACTTGCGAGCCTACTCGTTAGTAAATGAGCCAAGCCTAAGCTACCATGCTCAGCTTGATATGCTCGTGAGCTAGCTTGACTCCAAGGCTTGTTGAGCTAAGCTCGCGAGCTGAGAGCTTGTGGACGGATTAATTACTCTTTATAATATGATCATTATCTTGTTAATACGGATGTGTATGGAAGTTAGTTGTTATTTTTAGTTTCTAGTGTTCTTTTTATCATTTAAATTCATATGTGTGCACGTTCTTTTAGCAAGAATAAGTTCAATTCGAGCTCATTTGTAGCCGAGCTTGTACTCAGATTGACAAGCTTTTCAACATCTTTTAAGAAGTAATTTTGATTGTTTTTAGATTTCCAACTTGTCTCCTATCAAGATAAGGTACACTTTCATTTATCCATATTTTAACTGCATTGTTGTGCTAAACATGTGTTGAATGCTTTGAGGACTTGAAATGCTCATCTTCGTCTTGGCATGAATTTTTGATGCCATAGGATTGCTTTATTTGCTTTAATGATCTTGCTATGCATTAGGGAGACCTTGGTGGGCTATTTTCATGCATTTATTGAGTTTTCAAAGACCCCAACTACATAGTCCCTCTTTTCATCAATCCTACTCTTTGATCATAAACTCCCATGCACTTGTCAACTCTTGTTTACTTGATTGTGTGTTGTTTGGGGAGATCCTAGCATATTGTGTTGTTAGTCTCACTCCAAGTGTGGGGGAAACTTAGAGAGTTGATAAGAGTTCTTTGAATATTCCTTTTATGGTATGTGATGTTTGGATTGATGGTTTGTGCATTTTGTACTTTTTGTTTTAAGGATAATTTACAAGACTAAGGAAATGGCCCGTGGAGAGAGTTCTTCTAATATGGAGCATTCTCCACCTTCTCATCTTCGCCAAGGCCATCGGAAGAAGAAAAATAAATTCGGGCCAAAGGAAGTAGTTGTCGAAGAACCACATCCACCATCACTCTCTCTCCATCTACCAAGGGTGAACCATCAAGATAATGAAGCCAATATTGGAGGCGGCATAGAGCACATCACTCACTATTATTTGGACAATGTCCCCGAGAAATTTAAGACCAAACTTCTGTGGGTTCAAGGACTTCCTCTAAGCGAGAGTACATGTCTCAACTGGATACTTTTCACGCAACTTAGGATCGAGGATGCGATCTGATCCAAGATTCAGAAGTTGGAGTGGCTTAAGTTATTATCCACTCAAGAAAGCATCTACTGGGTACTTGTTCTGGAGTTCATTAGAACTCTTAGCATTCAAGATATGAAAGGTGCCTCTGAACTTGAAGACAACATCCAATTCCAACTAGGAGGAGAGCATTGATTCACCGGAAGCTTTTGCCACCTTGACAAGAGAATCTGACTTCCCATGTTTCAAGTCATTCTATGAATCTGAAGTCAAGAAATCAAACAGTCGACCATGGGATGTCAAGTTATCAAAGGCTAGTGTGGTGAAACTGGAGTGGCGGCTCATCTACCATGTGATTGCTAGATTCGTGGGTGGAAAAAACTTAAGCAAAGCAATTTGACTGTCCGAGACGTCACCTTCTTCCAAAGCATGCACCTACCTCAATCTCTTTACCTCGGTTTGGCCATCTTGTCCATCTTCAAGCGTAATGAAATGGATCATCAACTCGCTGCCCTTCATGGAAGAGTTTTTGTCACACGTCTTGCCAAGTTTTTCCAAGTCGACTTTGGGCCGTGCAATTTCAGTTGGATAGTAGGACTAATCATATTTCTTTTGATGCCTTGAAGCCGAGAATCAAAGTGTTGCACATTAATGACGATGGCATTTGGAGAGTATGGGGACTTCCATTTCCAACTACTAATACGTTGGACGTGGAGGGTACCGTGTTTCGCCTTCCGGAAGCTACGGCGGTAAGAGGACGAAGATGAATAGTCAACGAGGAAGAACAAGTGGGAAGCATGTATGAGGGAGGAGAGGCGCCTCCATCCACTTTTCATCCGGTTCCCCCAACACTCAACAATGCAAGGGATTACCGAGTGGAAGCGAAGATAGAGGCTATCTTTCACAATCAAAGGAGGGAGAAGAAAGCGCAACTCCACATCATGTCATGCATCCATTCTATAATGAAGAAGATGGATATTCCGATTGAAGATGTATCGCCTCAACTTGTTCGCTCCCCTCCCCTTGCGCCATTCCAAGAAGAAGAAGAAGGACCCTCCGAGGATGATTAAGTACTAGGCATCTAGGGCCTAAGTTCTATCTTTTCTTTTTCTTTCTTTTACCTTAAAACAATGTTTAATTATCGCTTTATTTCCGTTTTACTTTTCGTGCTTTTAATATTCTAGTAATAGTATTAATCATACTTATATTATCTATTTATCATACCTATAACTATTAATCGTCTTCCCCTCTTTTTTATGCGCTTTATCATTGTGAAAACCATCAGGAAGACAAAGACACACTTATGTACCTTCACCAACCCATAACCCAACCTATAGTAACCATCATGATCTTCTCATTTGAATCTCCCACATTGAGGACAATGTGTTGCTCAAGTGTGGGGGTGTGTGAATGCTTGAATGATTATCGTGATTGATTGAGCCATGAATTGCTAGTATCCTCTCTTGTTGATGAATGCTTATGGGAGTGTATGCTAGTGATTGTGTGTGTGTTTGTGGTGTGAGTGGCCAAATGATAGTGTTTTGGAACCTTGAATGCATTACCCAATTTTTTTTCAAATTTGAGGGTTCCAAAGCACCTTGTTCATTACAACTTCCTACTCAATATGCCTTGAACTGATAGATGAATAATGTGTCGTGCTCGCTACAGAGTAGTTGCATGATTAGAGTATCAGTGTATGAAGGATTTTAATCTCTTCTACCTCTTTGGTGAGTTGATAATGTTTGCTATTTTAGGAAAAACATGTGTGTGGGATTCTCCATTATTGTTGAACTCGAAGCTTTTACATATTTTTGCTTAATATCTTTTAAAAAAGAGGTTCTCACGTGAGAGGCAACCGGCCCTCAAGGTTTGGAATGTCCTTTTAGGATATGTTTAGGGATCGAATAACTTTACCGCGTCCCGCCCATCTCTCACTACTTACCATCCCCCAAAATTCTTTCCTCCTCACGGAATCGTATGTCAAGATAATAAAGTACCTTTTAGAGATTCAAGAAACCTCAAGGTTTCGTTTGTACCTAACATGTGTGGTAACCCAATTTGGAGTGCAGGCTGGGATGTGGTGCTCGGGCTAAGGCGAATTCTCCCATCAACTTCCCTATATGTGGCCTTGAAAGGGAAGGCAATAATCCATCCGCTCTTGGTCAATGAGGGAGAGATGCTTGTTTGCAAAAGAGTTTGCAAAAGTTTGGTGCAATGCGCGTCAACGTTGAAAAAGGAGACCAATAAATGAAAACTCCTTAATCGAATGAAAGAATAAAGAGCACCCTTAAGAGTTCTTGGTCTTAATTGTTGATTGAGAAGTCCCTCGGTGCACACCTTGAATGTTCAGCCTAAGGTAGTAAGTATGGTCTTCACCCAAGAGTTTGTGTGTGCACAGTAAGATGGTAGTAACGTTCATTCATCTCCGTCTACTCTTCTTTATGCGAGGGGTTCACGGGCTGACTTCATGATCGCGACCCGTGAAGCGCGGCCGCAAACTTCCTCGCGGTCATGATGAACTGTGGTCGTGATCAGACTAGGAAAACTCTTTGTTTCTCCTCGGCTGGCATCTTCACGAAGTTCGCGCCCGAAGCTTCCAGATTTGCGGTCGAGGAAAAATACAAGGCTCTCGCAACATTAGCCGGCGAGTGATAGCATCGTATTTGCAAGTGTTTGCACTCTTGTTTCTTGACCATTTTAGCTCGAATTTGTGGTTCCGTGGCCTATTATACGCTAGGCTGTGTTGTTTTGTCGTATCTCAGGTCCTAGCGAGTAAAGGGATGCATAGGCGCAAGTTTTGGGTCATTTGGAGGTCAGTTGGCGATTCAAAACTCAAATTACGGGCATCCCCTGCACAATTACGGGCGTAATTGCCTCTACCCTGATCGTAATTACAATGCCGAGCCAAAATATCTGAGAATGTCTGTCGAAGAGAAAAATACGGGCAAGAGCAGATGGATTTACGGTCGTAATTACATGAATACTGGCAGTAAACTGAAATGGATGATCGTAATTCCCTTCCTCGGTGTGAAGTGAAATGCGCGTTTTGGGTGAAATACGGGCATGCCATGTTTACAATCGTAATTCAGCTCGTATTTCTCCTAGAATCGGGGTTTTGAGGCAGATTCGAGCCAAATGAGAGGGAATCAAGTTTTTGAGCAAAAAACAGAGTTTTAGAGAGAGAAAGTGCGAAGAACACATCCTAAGAGCTATTTGGAGTGGATTTCTTGCCATTGAAGCCCATATTGCATCCTAGGAGTGAAGATCGACATCCCAAAGCAGATTATCCTCATCTTTATGAGGATGACTACTCTGATTTCTATTTTCCTCTCTCCCTCTATGGAGTAGAACCTTCTCTAACTTGGGTATGAAGAACCCTAGTTCCATGTGTTAGGAATCTTGATTGTAATGGCTTTGGATTGATATACTGAATGATTTTAATCGATTGATGCATGATTCATTGAGTCAATTGAAGTCTGATTATCTTTTCTTGATTTCTGCAGCAACCTGAAATAGATAGAATCTTATTAGGTTGTTATAGCTTCATTAATCGGTAGTGGTAGATTGGTTATGCGAGAGTTAATCGATTTACTGCTTTGTACTGGAATCCAATTCTAGTGGTGGAATTATGTGCTTATTGCCCCAGTAGTCTGTCCCAGTGAAGGCTAGTCGCCTGTCGGATAATCTGACTGAGAGGGTTTGGTCAGCTTAAGAGATTCCAAGCTACTGTCGGATCTTTCGCAGTTAATCAACAGTTAATCAACCCAGGGTAATTACAACCTTGACCTAACTAAGGAGCTAGGGGGACTCATTCCCGAGTGACTCTTCCTTTGCTAAAGAACTTTGAACCATTTCCTACTTTCTTACTGCTTTTACTAAAATCACAATCACTTGACTTAGTTTGCTAGATAATAGATAATCACGGAGTAGGCAGTAGATCTAGATCTCGGGTTGACAAATAGAGCTTGCCACTTTACTGCATTTCCGGACTGCGATTACACTTGGTCGCAGTTTGGTGTTGTGTTTTAGCGTGTCAAGTTTTTGGCGCCGTTGCCGTGGAACTTCTAGGTTATTGTGGAAACGTGAAAGTTTATTACTCTAGCTTTTTCTTTACTGCATTCTCTCTCTTCCACCTTTGTGTCTTCACGGGTTGTGTTTGCATTCTGTGTGTAGGTAGTGCATGACCCGAAGCCAGTCGAAAGATTTACTACCATTAGACTAAGAGCTTGAACGGACTTGTAGGAACTTCAAACGGGCTTTAATGGCGCGACTGGCTGCAGAGGAGGCTCTAGCACAGCTGCAAATCGCTGAGGAGGAAGAAATGGGTGACCCACAAAGCAATGATGTGGTCATTCCCGAGGAGCAAACCATGGGCTATTACTGGACCGCCCGCGCCGAAGACATGAGTCCCCCCATCCAACACCCTCAAGTTGCTGCCAACAACTTTAAGGTGAGTACCTCTGTCATCACCATGCTGCGTGGCTCAGTGGTATTCCGTGGCAAGGAGGGGGAGTGCCCTCGATCACATCTTCGACGATTCCATGAGCTCATCGATGGGACAAGATAAATGGGGTCCCAGCCGATGCCATCCAGCTGAGGTACTTCCCATTCAATCTGGACGGGCAAGCCAAGGAGTGGTTGGACACTAGGCCTTCCAGATCGATCACCATGTTCGCCAACCTGGCGGACAAGTTCCTCACCCGCTATCATCCTCCGTGGAAGACGGCGGACCTACAGAAGCAGATAACCCATTTGCACAGGAGGAAGATGAGACCATCCGGGACGCATGGGAGATATACACCAGTCTTTTCCTGAGGTGTCCCAATCATGGTTTCAATGATGCTTTCAAGGTGGGCACCTTCTACCACGCCCTCTTCCCAGAAGACAAGCATCTGATTGACTCGGTTTGTGGCGGGAACATGCTGACCTATACGCCGCCGCAGTTGAATCAGCTCTTTGAGGAGATGGCAGAGAATGGGTATGATTGGGGTACTGCGAGGAGGTCGAGGCGAGCACCAGGTCGGGGTGTACATGTTGTGGGCACCCACTCTTCTGATTTGGTGCAAGTTGTGTCTAAACTGGTCTCAGCCATCGATCGGAATGGGATGGTATTTGGGACAGGGCAGCAGCCGCCAATGTGTTGCCAGTGGTGCAAGAGCGCCCATCATAGTGTGAAGGACTGCCAGACCATGCGTGAGTCCAGTACACCCCTGGAGCAGGTGAACTTCATCAACAATGCCAGGCCCAACGATCCTTACAGTAATACCTACAATGAGGGATGGCGTCAGCATCCAAATTTCTCCTGAAGTGGCAACAACAATCCAAAGCCACCTGGCTTCCAGGATCCTGCAACTAGTTTTCCAAACTAGAGGCAGCCATACCAGCCTCGCCCAGGCCAGATGCAGCAACAACAGCTACTTTATCAGCCCAGACAGGCAGGCTTTTCAACAGCCCCCACAGCAGCAGTACCAACAACCTGGTGCATCTCCATCAGTTCCAGCACCGGGCGATCCCGTGTCAGAACTGTGAGATCTAGTGACTACCTTGGCCAGCTCTAGTACCCAAAAGTTCAATAAATTGGAGCAATTCATGGAAGTGGTTGCAGGCAAGTTCATGGAGATTGAGGCTGGTCAGAGAAACCAACAGGCACTCTTGCAGGATATGGACACCAAGATCGGGCACCTGACAGATGCCCTTGCTTCCAGACCGGCTGACACACTTCCTGGCCAACCCCTGCCGAATCCCAGAAATCATAAGGAGGGGTTGCACACCATTATGTTAAGAAGTGGGATTGTGACTGCGGATGCACCGCAGAAGAGTGCAAAAAAGGTGACCCAAATCACCCCAGAGCCGGAAGAAGACCCGGTGATGGAAAAGGAGCCAGAGGCTCAAGCTCCAAAGCCACAACTAGTAGTGGCTGAATATAAGTCTAAGCTCCCTTTTCCCACCAGGATGTACAAAGACAGGCTAGAGGCAGAGTTCGGCAACTTCTTGTCCATGCTTAGGAAGCTGAATGTTCAAGTTCCCTTCATGGAGGCACTATCTCAGATGCCTAAGTACGCGAAGTTCCTGAAGGAGCTTCTCTCGAAGAAGCGGAGGCTGAGCGAGCTGGCCACTGTGGAGCTCAGTGAGGAGTGCTCGGTCATTTTGCAGAACAAGCTTTCGCCGAATCAGAAGGACCTAGGTAGTTTTACTATCTTATGCTCTATTGGTAAATTGTATGTAGAGAGGTCCTTGACGGATCTAGGTGCTAGTATTAATGTGATACCATATAAATTATTCAAGAAACTAGGCCTAGGTGAACCTAGTGCAACGAGGATGAGTATTCAATTAGCTGACCGATCTGTAGTCTATCTTAGGGGCATAGTGGAAGACCTTCTGGTTAAGGTGGGCAGATTCTTTTATCTTGTGGATTTTGTTGTCTTAGACATCAATGAAGATACAGAAGTGCCCCTTATACTGGGAAGGCCTTTCCTGGCCACCACCAAGGCTCTCATAGATGTACATGATGGAACCTTAGTTTTGAGAGATGTCCAGGAGCAGATAACATTTTCCAGTGCTAATACTCTCCCCGCCTCATCACCTTTGCATGCTGTTTCTCACCAGGAGCACGAGTCTGTCGTGTATCCTTCCGTGCCTTCCATTTTGAAGGACCCACCTACCATACCTTCACCGCAATTCTCGTCCACCTCTGTTCCCAAAAGAAAAGATCAAGGAGGAGTGGCGGCCGAAACCGCAGGTAGCTAAGCCTGCTGAAAAGGAAGTGAGAGACCACTATGAGCTGGTCCCGGCTCCTGAGCCACGACCTCCTTGGCCATCCGAGTATTCACTCGCTTGCATCATGCCGGATGGCTAGGTTGAGTTGACGTGTGCTGGTGGTCACACTCGTCGTGTGCATGGCCACCATCTGAAGTTGTACCTCAAGAGCGATGTGGATCCGCTCTTGGAGGCACTTGTTTCTACACCTCTCTGAGCATCCACACTATTGGCGTCCAGCTAAAAGACGGTAAAGAAGCACGTGTGGGGAGGCAACCCCACCAAGATTTATTTTCATTTCGTTTGTTTTCGGTTTTTCCACTTAGAACTGTGGTTTCTATCACCCATTGTGTTTTGATGACTCTAGCTCTGTGGGCTGGTCCCCCTTCCAGTCCGCCCCTGCTGACTGGTCCCATTTGTTGCTCCCCCCCCCCCCCCGGCAATCTGTTTTCCCGGTAACATCGTTCCCCTTATCTTTCCCTCTGCTCCATTGAGGGCAATGTCGTGCTTAAGTGTGTGTGGCCCGTTTATCTATCTTTGACTGCTAGATGAGTTTGTGTGCTTGGAGCCTAGTCCACTGTCCAAATTTTGATTTGAGGGCTCCAAGTATTGTTCTCTGCAATATCCGGCCCAGTATGCTTTGAATTGACAGTCTTTATGGTGATATGCAACCTAGGGAGGTAGTGTAGCACTATGGAGGATGTTGATGCATTTAAGAAGTCTCCTTCCTTCTTCATATTGTGTTGGTTGATTGTGTGAATTAGTGATCTTAGGACCCTTGAATTGTGTGGTATTGTGGACTCTCTACCTGTCATGGACTCCTGTACCATGTTTTGAAAGAAGGTACTAAAAAATGTGCTTTAAAATAACTTCTCCCGTGCGAAAAGGGCGAAAGTGTGTAAGGGGAGACGGGAATCCGTTCCCAATTTCCATCTACTACCTTCAGCCCCCTTACATTTCTTTCCCCCGCACAAGGCTCGAGACATCCGCTCCCGGCTTGGCCGGTAAGAGCCGGGCTCCCGCAAAACCTTTGCTAGGTGGGAGCCCCCGTTTTCTAAAAAACAGGTTGGAACCCTTGAAAAGAAAGAGAAGAAAATAGAGCACCTTAAAAATGTGAGTCCATGATCTTTTGTTTTTGAGAGTCCCTTCGTCCACGATTCATTTGTCTTCTGATCACTATTTTCCATGATACCGACTCGAGACTAGAGTTCTCGCCGAAGAAGTTAGGAGGTGTCTTGTGCGTCGGTTGACCTCGCAAGCTGCTAAATGACTTAGAACGTCCTCTACCGACGATCGTGGTTGCATGTTTCTATAAAGGTCTGGAGAGCTGCATTGGTTTGAGTCAGGTTTGCTTGGGGACAAGCAAACAGTTAAGTGTGGGGGAATTTGATACATCGTATTTGCACGTGTTTGCACTCTTGTTTCCTGACCATTTTAGCTCGAATTTGCAATGCCGAGCCAAAATCCCTGAGAATGTTTGTCGAAGAGCAATATACGGGCAAGAGCAGATGGATTTACGGTCGTAATTACATGAATACTGGCAGTAAACTGAAAATGACGACCGTAATTCCCTTCCTCAGTGTTAAGTGAAACGCGCGTTTTGGGTGAAATACGGGCAGGCCATGTTTACGATCGTAATTCAGCCCGTATTTCGCCCAGAATCGGGTTTTTGAGGCAAAAAACAGAGCTTTAGAGAGAGAAAGTGCGAAGAACACACCCTAGGAGCTATTTGGAGTGGATTTCTTGCCATTGAAGCCCAGATTGCATCCCTAGGAGTGAAGATCGACATCCCTGAGCAGATTATACTCATCTTTATGAGTATGACTACTCTGATTTCTGTTTCCCCCTCTCTCTCTCTATGGAGTAGAACCTTCTCTAACTTGGGTATGAAGAACCCTAGTTCCATGTGTTAAGAATCTTGATTGTAATGACTTGGGATTGATATACTGATTGATTTTAATCGATTGATGCATGATTCATTGAGTCAATTGAAGTCTGATAATCTTTTCTTGATTTCTGCTGCAACCTGAGATAGATAGAATCTGATTAGGTTGTTAGAGCTTCATCAATCGGTAGTGGTAGATTGGTTATACGAGAGTTAATCGATTTACTACTTTGTACTGGAATCCAATTCCAGTGGTGAAGTTCTGTGCTTATTACCTCAGCAGTCTATCCCGGTGAAGGCTAGTCGCATGCCGGTTAGTCTGCCTGAGAGGGCTTGGTCAGCTTAAGAGATTCCAAGCTACTGTCGGATCTTCCGCAGTTTAATCAACAGTTAATCAACCCAGGGTAATTGCAACCTTGACCTAACTAAGGAGCTAGGGGGACTCATTCCCGAGTGACTCTTCCTTTGCTAAAGAACTTTGAACCATTTCCTGCTTTCTTACTCCTTTTACTTAAAATCACAATCACTCGACTTAGTTTGCTAGATAATAGATAATCACGGAGTAGGCAGTAGATCTAGACCCCGGGTTGACAAATAGAGCTTGCCACTTTACTGCATTTCCGGACTGCGATTACACTTGGTCGCAGTTTGGTGTTGTATTTTAGCGTGTCAGCGAAATTGTTTGGATCGAGTCTGTTCTCTCCGAGATCAACGTGCCTCTTTCTTTCCATCCAAAGATCTGGTGAGATAACATCGGCGCCACGTATTTGACCGCCAATCCAGTGTTTCATTCCCGAAGCAAGCACATGGAAATTGACTTTCATTTTGTCCGAGAACACGTTGTTGTCAGTCGCCTTCAAGTCCGTTACATCTCCAACGATGACCAAATCGCTGACCTACTGACAGAGCCTCTACCTCGACAATGATTTCTTCATTTTTGGAACAAGTTGAAGGTCATCCACCATCAACTTGCGGGGGGCATGATAAGGAGACTGAGTCTCCTGGTTCCTGTTATGCCCAACAACCCACTACAAAGCTGTTCCTAAACCTCCGCACTCTTTACCTTAAAACTCTCATGCTTTTTCATTATGTTATTCCTCAATGTGTATAAATCCAATACTGTAATTCACAAATAATCAATGGGAATCAGTAGCAATTTCAGTATTGATACATAAAAAGATCATATGATATATCGACGCTCAAGTAGGGATGGCAATTACCCACCCATGGGTAATTATACCCAAATCCAAGTAGACCCATTGATAATGGGTTGGGTATGGGTGAAGTGCATATGGGTTTGGGGGATTTGTATATGGGTTTGGGTAATGTATGAATATTGATTTCATAATCTAAATGGGTATGGGTTGGATATGAATATCCATTTACTTGAGGGTGTTTTAACTACACATGCAAAAATTGGACCTATTTGTAAAACTTGAAAAATTTAGGTACCAAAATGTAAGACCAAAAAAAGCTAGGTACCAAAACGTAATTTTCTATCGAACTGTGCATATCTATTGAGTTTAGGTACCAAACTGTAATTTGTATTTGGGCATGGGTACAAACCCAAATCCATTTATTATAAACCCAACCCAACCCAAAGTAAATGGGTATGGGTACAAACCCATCAAATTCTACCCATATCCATCTATTTGGATTAATACCCAACCCAATTGAGTTGGATAGTAAAAAACTAATGGATATGGGCAAAATTGTCTATCCTCAAGGCATCTAATTGGGCAGGAAAGCCTCAAGCAGGAAGGGATATTATACTCACAATTGAAATCGTCATTAAGATGATGATATTATCTTATATGTATAAGAAACGAAAGGGGCATGAATGAATAATGATGGTGTAGTGTAAAATGGTTGTTAGACGTTAGTCGTTACAAGGATAGGGCACGGACGGTTTGAAAAGAAAGTGAAATGTCGGGGTAGTTTAGCATGCTAACCCCTTAGAAGTTGGAAAAATGACACCCCCTAGTATATTAAATACAATTATAGAATTTAATACACACATTAAATACACATTATGAATTAAATGCACCATATTAATTATTATTTTTTTCAAATTAAAACCTACACTAAATACATTTTCTCTCACTATATTTGATTTTTCCTTTTTCAGCAGTCTCCGGCCACCAGACTTCCTCCGACCGCCACACTTCTCCCGTGAAAATCCCATCGGCAGACTCCCTCCGACCACCTCCAAAAAATATACCACTGCACTGATATGTTGTACCACTGTACTGGTAGATATACCACTGGACTGGTAGCGATATCAGTGCACTGGTAACAATGTCATATCTGAGTATCAGTGTAGTGGTACAAATACCAGTAAAGTGGTACAACATATCAGTGCAGTGGTATATTTTTGCATGTGACCGGAGAGAGTTTGTCGGCGGATTTTACCGGCGAAGTGTGGTGGTCGGAGGAAACTTGGTGGTCGGAGGCTGCTCGGAAAGGAAGAATCAGAGATAGGAGTGAGAAAGATCAAAGATGAGAGAGAGAGAATTGTATTTTGTATATGTTTAGATTTTTTTTTAAAAACAAGTAATTAATGTGGTGTATTTAATGCTTACTTTGTATTTAATAACAGAACATTTATTATGTTTACTTTCATTAATACTTGTCAATAATTAATGAAAAATTGACCAATTAAAAGGGGTGTCAAAAAACCATCCTTAAGGAGTTAACATGCTAACCCGTCCCTGAAATGCCATCCCGTTGTTGCTTGAAAGTTGAAACCCATGTGTGAGAGACAGATTTAATTGCATGAGAAGCAAATTCCATTTAGGATTTATTTCTTTGTTATTTTATGAAATTATGACTAATAAATTGTTTTTCAATATTCAAGGCCTTCCTTCTTGACTATTAGTAATCCCTCACTGGGTCCTACTTAATAAAATTTACCCAATTTCTTTTCATATCAAGCTGATTTGTCGTAAGATATATGTATATATTCTTCCTTAGTTAATGGGATTAATTGTAGTCATGATTAACGGTGGTTGGTCCACATGGTTCCATTGAGCATGTGCAAGTGCACCGCCGCTTACTTACACGTACTGCTATTGCTATAAGCCTATAACTACTACTAATTCATCATATCATTTGGTTCTGAAATTCTGGTCCATCATCTTCGACTAACCGATCAATTGACGAAAATCCATCATTTCCCATCTTTGATAGATGTATATATAAATCCTTTCTGCTTTGCTTTTGATTTGTTTCCCTTTGTTTTTTGTGTCTCGAAGGAGACGGCCCAACGGTCGTGCCATTCGGTTGGAATTTGGAATCTATATCCAGGATAGGCAGGCAGCAATCACCAAGGTTGTCAACTAGTGGGGTAAACCGGACTCAGTAGCTGGGTATAGACTTTAAACTTATTGGGGTCCTGGAAAAATGAATAATACTAAAGGCTATGTATTTAATGAATTTTGGGTTGATTGGGCTCTTGAATTACATCAAGTATGGCGAAAGTATGAGATCTTATTTATGCATGTTCATCGGCTGATGTACTACGTAAAGGTTATGCTTTCAACATTAAGAATGGGATGAAAACTAAATTCTGGACTGATGTGTGGCTGATGCAGGTTCCTTTAATGACAGTGACCACCCAACCAGTTCCTGAGGAGCTCATTCCCCTTCAGGTGGCGCACTACTGGCATCAGGATCATGGTTGGAGGTTGGAAGATCTGGAAGACTACCTCAGCCAAGAAACCATTGCAACCTTAAGGGCATTCCATTTCGATCCGACGACGAGGGAAGAAGACCAGCTGCGTTGGAAGCTTACGACTAATGGAGCCTTCTCAACCAAGACGGCCTTTCAGGTTATTTCCCCCCACATACCCTCGACAGAGCAGCCTGCTTTTTGGAAGAGCATATGGAAGCTTCATGTCCCGGAGAGGGTCCGAGTCTTTATCTGGATGGTAGTCAAGAACAAGATCACCACAAACAGTGTAAGAAAATTCAGGCATCTTACCTCTGATGATAGCTGCCCCAGTTGCGAGGGTACGGCGGAAACGGCCATTCATTGCCTTCGGGACTGTCCGAGAGCCCAAATTGTCTGGTCAAAGATTATCTCGCCCGACCACATTGGCCAGTTCATGGCGAGTGATAGAGACAGGTGGCTGAGAAGCAATGTAACTGACAACAAGACGGGCTTTTGGCCAGGTGAGTGGGGAAGCTTCTTTAGTCTGGTTCTATGGTTCATTTGGAAGCAACGTAATGAGAAAGTCTTCAGAGGAAACACCCTGTCTCCTTCATCCCTTTGCAACTACGTCGTGATCAAAGCCAAAGAGTGGGCTCATGCTTGGGAATCGGCGAGCAGATCTCTTGACAGGAGCAGTAAACCAGCCCGGGTAGAAAAACTCATTGGATGGTCGCCACCGGCAACTGGCTGGTTTAAGCTAAACACTGATGGGGCAGCCCAAGGTCACGGTGGAGACATAGCAGCGGGAGGGATCATTCGGGATAGCGATGGTGAGTGGATAGCAGGCTTTATGTACAGGATTGGGTCAGGAACCGCGATTTTGGCCGAACTTTGGGGCATTCTGCAGGGCCTCAAGCTTGCTTGGAAACACGGCATCCAGTTCTTGATCTTGGAATCGTATTCTGCATTAGCTTTGGATCTTATTCGACAGCACCATGACCCTGTTCACCTTCATGCCAGTTTGCTAGGCAAAATTCGGCGTCTTCTTAGTCAAAGCTGGGTGGTACAACTGGACCATACATATCGCGAAGGGAATAGAGTCGCGGACTGGCTCTCGAAGCATAGTCTCGTCTATCCCTTTGGTATGCATGAACTGGAAGCTCCACCCTCGGAGTTAGCTCGAATTATTAGAGAAGACCTCATGGGAGTAAGTTTTCCTCGGATGGCGATTAGAGAAGCGTAGTATCTAGTCTCCCCTTGTGCTTGTTACCGCTGTTTTGTTTTTGTCTGAGGTGAGACTACCGCCTGCGCGCGGTGTTGGGAGCTCTGGGTAGCAGGGGGTTTCCGCTTTCCCCCTGTCTCTGATTCAGGCTGTTTTCTTGGTGGGTTCTGTTGCCCACCTCCTTTCAATAAAAAAAAAAAAAATTTATGCATGTTCATACCAAAGTCTATTTATCTAATGTATTCATTTATGTGCTAAATATTTGGCAAGTGGGGTCCTCATATCCCTATCCTCTAGCATTCTCTCAGCTATTGCATGGTCCCGATGAGAAAACTGAGCGCCACAAACCAAATGATCGATCTGCAGTATGGTCTCGAGTTGAGGTTACATGTCGTTTTCCCCTTTGGTTTGCGAATTGCGCCTCTTTTTAGATTTTTTTGATTCGCATAACTTTATCTATGAAATTCTAAGTTGAAAATTTGAATATTAATGTTATATGAGTGTGTTTGAATTTCCACAAATGTTGAATCCAAATACCAACGGTTACTTTTTGTGTAGGGTTGGTTTGCACCCTAACCTATCCTGTTCCGGTAATTCATTTAAAAAAGTAATAGCATCTGCCGGTGACTGCATTGTGCATTCAACACTTGTTCAAACTCATGTCACGACGATTCAAACTTAAAGCCAGTTTGTTCATTAGGACCGTACGTGGTGATTTGATTATGAGTGAACCACGTAGTGATATGTTTGTTATTTACGTCTGATATGATTTGTTTGATTGAGAAGTTTGGAATTTTGTGGGTTAGGGGATTGACGTTTTTGTTTGGGGGCTTAATTCCCCGGCACTAATTGCTGCGTGTTATAAGGGGAGAGGCGGTGTGGTGGCGGTGGGTATATATTATCTTATATTAGTTGTTTAATTTGATTTGATTTGATTTGATTAATAATAATAAAGTGGGTGGTGGCGACAGGATTAATGTTTTCGTTTCTCTAACGTTCTTTCGATCTTGTTAGGGTATAATCGTTGACACTTAACTGCCATAACTACCGCTCGCTCATTCGCTCTATCACTCATCGATCACATGCATGGTTGTCACGCCGGCCGACGTGTCACTGGTTGAACCTGGTTCAATCTGTATCGATTATAAGTAAAATAATCGATATACGAATCTCTAAATAAAATAATATTATATTAGTGAATTTATTTGATAAAAAATAATTTATTATTTATTTTATGTGTTAAAAAGTTAAATGTTGATGTCATTTGTTGGATTCGAGTACAAATATTTAGGTATTGACGTTAAATGTCGTGTTTAAATATGAGTATTTATAAATTATTTGTAATATTAACCGGCATGAACCGGCACAAACCGATATGTACCACCGGTCGAACCATTTCACTTGCTAAACCGGCACGCTGACACAAACCGGTTTGACAACATTGATCACATGCAATGCAAGCATGCTGCTATCCTTTGAGTTTTGCTGGTTGGGTAAATGTGTCAGAAAAGAGTCCTTTCATCTGACACAGCCGCGCCCACGTACCAGAAAAACAAAATGATGGATTGGAGAGACGCCAACATCATGAACAAGATCACCATATATATGTTGGTGCCCGTTGTTCTGTCACCGTCATATCACAGGCCCAACATCAATCAATCTCAATCCATGAATCATTGCCACGTAAGTTAGGGTTGTCGGCATTCTTTTACCATTTTGACCAGGCAAACCTTCTTCTTCACCCTCAAATGGTTGCTTCTGTGCTCTACTTTTCTACTTCTTAACTGCCACCTTCTATTCTCACCTTATCTCTTGGAATTCGGTTAGGGTCCTCACTCCTCACCAAGGTTGTTTAGTCCGTTGGCCCGGGCGAGTAAGTGGATTAAGAGTTAATAGACCGACCAGTTTAGCTGGATATATGAAAATAGTCATTATATTGTCATACATCTATAAATTAGATAAAATTTTATCAAACATGTTAAATAACATATAACATGACACCAAATTATTGACGTGTTTGGATCCAACTTATAGTGAAAATTCACATGTAACACCAATATTCAATTTTCCAACTTATAATTAAAAAGATTGGGTTAGGAAAAAAAAAACAAAAATAGGCACATTTCGCAAGCCAAAAGAAAAAAAAAACAAATACAGTTTGACCTCCAACCTGGTACCTTGTAGCGGTCCACCCGACGGGTGTGTGCGACCCATTTTTCTCACTAGGTCAGGGTCAAAGTGGGTCAACCTGCGGGTTGACAACCTTGCTCCTCACACTATGTTTATGCAAGGATATTGTTACATGATGAGATGGAGATCGAGGTCAAGCCTCAATGAACGGTCGAGATTAAAGCGGGCTCTCTTTCTATGCTCCTTTTTTTCTTTTTTTTTTCCCCCATTAGATCACTCGTGTTACCGAGAAATAAAAGATACAAAGTCATACAAATCAAAGTGACTGAAGCCACACAACAAAATCGAAACCCACCAACAATAGTGTCCTCAATGAAAGGGCTTTCCTTGCCACAAGATGGGCAACCCTGTTCCTATTCCGACCCACAAACACACAATCAAAATGCTGAAAGGAGGAACGTAACACATGAATCTCGTGAAACAAGGCTCCACCAAGAGCATCATGCACCTCCCCAACCTTCACTTTCTGCAACACTGTTTGCGCATCTCCCATAAAAGTCACCAAAACCCAACCTCTGTCCGAACACCAACAGATTGCATCCCGCAAGGCCAACAATTCCACCAAAGCTGGATCCTGAAGTCCTTGGTACCGCCGAGCAGCACTAGCTATTAAGGCACCTGTTGCGTCCTGAATAACCCATCCTCCCGCTTCATGCGATCCTTGTTGCACTGCACCATCAACAAAACAAGACAAAGAGCCAGAAGCAAGGCTAGTCTGAGACACTAAAGGTGCCGATACCACCATCCGCTGCTCACTCTCCCTTGGATTGTCAATCCACTCAGTAACCTGCAAGGAAAATTGAAAAGCAAGAGAAACAAGCTGGTACTGAACTAAATCAAACACCACCCCATTACGCGATTTCCAAATACGCCAAAAGAGAGCCACTAACTGCATAATCTCAGTAGGGCCTACTGCTTGCTGCTCCAAAATCCGGCGCCAGAACATAGCAATACTCCCTGTCGGCATCCCATCCTTCCAATCTTGCAACCCTGTTATCCGCCACAGAGTATCCGCCACCGGACACCGAAAAAATAAATGTTCTACTGTTATCCGCCACAGAGTATCCGCCACCGGACACCGAAAAAATAAATGTTCTACTGTCTCCTCCTCCTCTCCTACGCAAACCGGACAAGCCCACCCATCCCCAATCCCCTAACCCGGAGTGCCTCCCCCTTTGGAAGCACTCGTCTCAGCAATTGCCAGACGAAAAATAGGAGTTTGGGAGGGATGGGTAGACCCCAAACCTTACGCCATAAACCTTTATCAAACAGAGAACAAGAATCCTTCCAAGAACGTGGCCACGGATGTATATATTGCGCCGCTAAAAGATAGTCGGACTTAACGGAATACCTACCATCAGACCGAAAATGCCACACTAACTGATCCTCCAAAGGAGCACAAGACAAAGGGATAGCAGTAATTGCCGCCACCGTTTCCGCAGAAAACAATTGATTCAACCGATCCATCTGCCAAACTCCTTGCCCATGATAAATCAAGGACACCACTGTTTCCTGCTGCCCCACCACACCTGGAAGCACCTCGGGAGAGTGCGGGTGAAGATTCAGGACCCAAGACGCCCTAGTCAAAGGAACAGAGTGACCCAAACCCACTTGCCAAAGCAGACCCTTCAAAAGCAACTCACGGCCAAACAGAGTACTTCGCCAGCCCCACGAGGGTAACGAGCCCTCACGAGCAATCAGGAAGGTTGACCGTGGGAAGTACTTCCCTTTATAGATACGGGCCAAGAGAGAGGTCGGATCCTGCAAAATTCTCTAGCCTATCTTAGCCATAAGGGCTTGGTTGAAATCTTGAAAACCACGAACCCCCAATCCCCCGTCCTCTTTCTTAAGACATAACGTCCGGTAGGCCACCCGGTGAACTCGTTTCTCCTGTCCATTAGCTCCCCACCAGAACCGAGCTAGGTGCCTATCTAAATCCCGACAAGTGGAAACCGGTAAACAAAAACAAGACATGACATGAACAAGCAAAGCATTCACCATTGCCTTAAGCAAAACTTCATTCCCTGCCCAAGATAAACATCGTTGTTTCCAACCTTGAAGACGCTGCATAACTCGTTCTTCCACGAATTGAAAAGTATCCACTTTTGATCGATGCAACAAAGACAACAATCCTAGATACATATTTGTGACACCCACTGCACCAACTCCTAGCTGACCTGCCATCAGCACCTGATCTTGATCCAACACATTTTTACTAAACACAACAGCCGATTTTTGCAGATTAACCTTCTGACCACTTAGCCGTTCATAATCCCTCAATACTTCCAACATGGTAGCATATTCCGGCTCCGAAGCTCGCAGAAACAGATACGAATCATCCGCAAAGAATAAAGGAGAAACCACCGGACACTGCCAACTCACTCGAACCCCCGTTAACTCCTTAGCTTCCAACCTTTGCCGTAACAAAACTTCAAAGCCTTCAGTACACAGCGCAAACAGGAGAGGCGACAAAGGATCACCCAGACGCAGGCCACGAGAAGCCGAAAAATAACCCAAAGGGCGGCCATTCATCATTACAGAGAAAGTCGGCGTTGTCACACAGGCACGAATCAAGCGAATACACTGACTATGAAACCCCAACTTCTCCATAAGAGCGAACAAAAAAGGCCACTCAACCCGGTCATAAGACTTCTCCATATCCAATTTCAGAGCCATAAACCCTTGCTTACCGGTTCGTTTATGAGAGAGATAACGCATCACCTCATGACTGACCAGAACGTTCTCTACAATTTGCCTTCCACGCACAAAACAATTTTGCCATGGGGAGATAATTTGAGGCAAGAAACGCCCTAGCCTTTCAACTGTTATCACCCGACATTGCTTTGTGCTATAGAAGGATTTCTTCCCTTTACAAGCTATATCTCATCCAACCATTTAGGCAAGGTAAGTCCATACTTAATTTATTAAACTAATACTGAAGAGTGGCTTGAAATTTCTCGAACCACACATAGGGAGCTTACTGTAATCCATAAAGTGAACGACGCATGCGAAATACCATAGAGCTATCCCCCTTCGTATAGTCCGGAGGAAGTTCCACGTATATTTCTTCTTTCAGGTCACCATGAAGGAAGGCATTCTTTACATCTAACTGAATCAACGACCATCCCTTCATTGCCGCCACTACTAATAAACTGCGTACAGTTTGCATTTTTAAGATTGGAAAAAACGTCTTAGCATAATCAATGTTGTATTCTTGTCGTAAACCTTGCGCCACTAATCGGGCCTTAAACCGTTCTACAGTACCATTAGGATTCATTTTCACAGTATACACCCGCCGACAACCAATGACCGAATACTCTAGTAAACGTGGGACTAAGTCCCAAGTATGTGCCTCCTTGAGAGCTTCGTTTTCAACCTCCATTGCATTATCCCATTATGCTTTTCCTTTAGCCTGTTTATACGTCACAGGAATCACAATTGCAGGAGTAGAGAATGCGACAAAATCAAAATGATGAGATAGAGGATGACCTTTAGTAGATCGAGTAGAGCGGTGCAATTGGGGAACCTCATGTTCTGCAGGAAGAGATGATCAGACGAGGATCCAGAATGTGAGTCGGAGCTCAAACACGAGCTGAAGCTAGAAGAGGATGGACCTGGACTTGAGCTGGACGTACTAGAGCTGTCCATTGAGGACGAGGAACCCGACCCATCACCCGAGGTCGACGAATAAGAGGAGTGGTCCGAGTTAGAACTTGACCTCATGCTAGTGTGCGTAGAGTGATCCTCGGGATCAATTTTAGGACTCACCTAGGAAGATGAGAAATCAGACGGATTCAAGAAGCTTAAGTCTGGAGGAGAGGAGGCTGGAGACTAAGACGCAATGTAGTAGAGCATGTGTTCTAGGAAAGCCACATGATAGGAAACCCAAACTCGACGAGCGGCTACATCGTAGCACACATAACCTGTATGTTTTTCAGAAATAGCCCAAGAAAACACATTTAACAGATTTATGAGTGAGTTTATTACGCTCTCGACGAGTTAAGATAACGTAACAAAAAAAAACCAAAATGCGCAGCTAACCATAGTTCGGAACACGAGAGTTTAATGCCTTATATGGAGTGCGTTGTTGAAGAATAGGACTCATCTGATGATTAATCAAGTAAACCGTAGTGTGCACGGCTTTAACCCAAAATCCGGCCGACACAAGTGAGTGAAACAGAATGACACGAGTCAGTCAAGAACATGGCGATGCTTTCTCTCGACTAAACCATTATGCTGTGAGACACCCAGACAAGACTGCTGAGAAATAGTACCTCGCTCATTCAACACATTTTGTAAAGGATTTTATGTGAACTCCCCTCTAGGATCCGATCTCAGTATCTTGACAACCCGATTAAACTAAGTGGAAACATGGCCAAGAACTCTTGTGCTACCGAAAACATCTCACATTTCTTACAATGGAAAAAGACCCACGTAAAACGAGTAGCATGGTCCACGAATAAAATGAAAAAGCGATACCCAAGACGAGAAGTCACTAGCGAGGGACCCCATAGTTCAATATGGACAAGATCAAATGGTTTAGAATAAACATTAGTGCTAGAATTAAAGGAACTCCAAGCTATCTTAGCTTGCAAACAATAAACGCATTCATGAATCTGATTATCCAAAACAGTACCCGACAACCATTTATTCTGAAACATAGTACGAAGTCTCACGTAATTGGGATGACCCAATCGAAAATTGCCATAAATCCCAGTCATATAACTTCACTGGATAAACTGAACTATTGTTGTGAAAATCAAAAGAACTACTCTTGG